CTAAGAATTGATCCAAGGTAAATTAACAAAAAATCCTCGAAGGGGGGAGTTATAAATGATGTGTTTGCTCAGGCAGTGAGGGTAACATTTTCACTAAGACTGGATAATCATGGGTTGAACACAAGCATGTGAGTTTATTTTCCTTTGTGATATGGATTGGAGACGTCAAGGCTGTACGAACAACTTAAAAGAAGCTGTGTTTCTTAGGTATATAATTAGGACCAGAGAGTGGAAAGTTAATATATTCTAGCTAATTAGTCTAAATTGGAGCAGACAGAAGTGATAAATTAAAACCTGGCCAGGAAGCTCTGCAGCTTCTAAATCAAACGCTAGAAGCATTAAACACACCAGAGGAGCTTGTAAAATTACAGATTCCTAGGCTCCACTCCAGATTCTGATGCAGATTTGGAGTGGAAACCTAGAATCTGAATATTTGATTTGGAGACAGATGTTCCATGGAACACGCTTTTAAAGAACACTGCTAAATTGTATGACAAATTTACATTTCCTGTTAAAACAAGAAAGGGAACTGGTTTGGAGAGTAAGATGAATGAAAATAATTGTGAAATATAAAATTGCCTTATTTGCCAGAATTGCCAAAGTTCTGCAAGCAAAGCAGCTGTGCCTCAAGAATTTATAAGCAGATATCTGCATATGTTGTATAGTGTATACACTCTGTTTCTTTAATCATTAACTTTTAGTTAGAACCATTGAGACAAGGTTTATATGTACATATATGACCTGTACATGCCTATAGCGTTGAGTGTGGACGTTGATGACAGACTTCCTGGGTTCGAGTCCTGGCTCCATTGCCCAAAGGCTGTGCAGACTTAGGCAAGTTCCTTAACTTTATTGTACCTCAGATTTCTTCCCTGTAAAATGGGAATGATTATAACATTTACATCATGGAGATTATTAAAGAGTAAATTAGTTAACACATATAAAACACTTGGAAAGTTTCCTGGAAGCCTTAAATTATTTCCTTATTATAGTTATTGCCTCATAGAAATCTGCTGAAATAAATTAAATTGATGGACGACGATGACAAACTTCGGATGGATTGAAGGCAGTTATCGCTCAGCCTAAAATGTGAACCCATAAGGAGAGTAAAGTAAATAGAATAAACTCAAGATTAGAGTGAAGCCTGCAATCTGATCTTAAGTGTTATCTGTCTCCCAAGTTCTTTATTGGTGCATTTTCTCTTAGAGGTTAGTTTTAAAATTTTTTCTTAATTACTTATTTTTAAGGCATGAAAGAATTTACTGGAAATCATCTAGGGATACTAGAACAAACTTTTTCTTTTCTTTGGAATCCATGCTTCTCTTATTCTCTGTTCTTCTCCCCAGTGTTGATTTTTCTGAAGCCATGGCTTCAGATATTTTTCATCTTCTCTCCTGTATCCCAAACACTCAGTATCAATACAATTTTTTAATAATTCTACACATAGTAAAGGAGGAAACTATAAAGTTTGCAAAATAATGTCTTCTTGTTTAATCCCATGGCCAAAAAGTAGGCAATTTGAGAACAAAAAAGCTAAAAAAAAATCCATCTGTGTCTGAGGAAATTAGCCTGGCAATCATCACCTCAATTTGGTGGTAGAGTATCCAGTTAGGAATGAATACTGAACTCACAAGAGAGATGTTGTTCACAAGGAACTCCATTTAACAGCAGCAAAACTCCAGTTTTGGAGCTGGGATCTGGGACAAAATTCCATATGATGGACATTCTGGGGCAGAAGAGCCCTCACACATGATGCCAAGATTCTGAGTGAGGTAATGGGTTGAAACTAGGAAGAGATACCAGGCTCTCCTTTAACAACATAAAGCAGCAGGGAGACCAATAACAAAGACCTACAGAAATCATCTGTAGATAATTGGATTCCAGATCTAGCAGAGGAACTTAATTGTAAGTCCCATTGTATAGGGCATCGGCAGCTGTTGATAACTTCCTGCCCAAATTTGAGTTGGCTCAGTTAACTAGAGCTGGACTGAGCCTTCAGTGGACCTTTAAACAATAGATGAGCCTAACGAATCTTGTTGAGTAAAAGAGAATCAAAGATCATTTCTGCAGTGCTGCACTGCTATGCCACTTTGTGATTCAGGGGGATGATAAATGGGTCATGCTGAGTAGAATAGCAAATGGACTCTGGAGAGGATATTGCCAGCAAAGAGCAACAGCCATAGAGAAAATGCCTCACAAGTGAAAGGACTACCTGCACCTTGACAACATGTGTTTTATGCTATGTGACTTCAAATGATTTTAAGAACTGCTTTGTTTTGCTCAATAGAGCAACGTCTAATTGTTTTAATTAACTGGAAAAATGAATTTCTGAGTGAGGTTAAAAAGAAAAGAAAATGCATTGTAAACATTATGAGGAAAGAGATAAAAATCAGAATGATGGTCAAAAGACTTTTATTATAAAACTTGTGTTTTATTCAATAGTTGGCCAGTTTCATCTTAATTTTATGTCAGTTAAGCATTGATGTTTACCCTTTCCCTAGGGTATAACAGTTCTTGCATACAAAGAAAATGTACATTATATTAACAATGGAGAATAACTCTAAAATGATACCTTAGATGAAGAACTTTTTCCTTGCTTTCTTGTCTTCTTCCTCAAGCTTTAATATTTGTCTAAAAACTTTTATTTTGTGCTAGCTCAGTATCTAGAAAAGATTTTTGACTATAGCAATTCAAGGAGAGCACCAAACTTTATAATATATTACTTCAGGGCTTGTCTCTAGGCAAGAAGCAGGAATGGTTGGTACTAATGGGAGCAGAACGGTGCTGAAAGAAAACCAGCTCATGGCATTATGAATCATAGGGCTCTAAAACATTTATAAATGAGTGAAAAGACTTGGGGCTGACATGAATTATGAGTCTCATTATGGCACTATAATATCTCCAGCAATGCTTCAGAGGGGCATGACACCTCCCAGGAAAAGTGGTAAGACTTCCATTACATTACTTTTCTGCTGGTAGTTGGCTATGGTCAAGGTGGGCTATGATCTGTATCCCTGGAGTACACATGGCAACATATCTTTGCATATAAATGTTGGTCAAGATCCTGCAAGACTCCTTTCTTCTAAGTGCCAAGCATTACTCTTGACCTTCAAGAAATATTAACAGGCCCTAGAGTGAGGACAGCATTTCCCATCTTTCCATTTCTTTAAATAGCACTTAGGGAGGCTACAATGCTCCTATTCTTTTCCACATGCCGATAGACACTCAGCAATATTGAAAAAAGATATTTCCCAGAAAAAAAAATATATTAGTTACTTACAGTAGCTGTGAAAAGAAAAAAAAGTGGTGAGCTCCTTATTAGTGCAAATATAAAGGCTCTTAGAATTAGCACATTCTTGATTTTTATCATCTCAATTCAGCCTAGGCTAACATAACTTCACTAATTATTGAAGTGGGTGAATTGAGAGAAAAGACTGTCTGAAGTAATTAAAAGACTGCATTATCAATCCTTTCCTAGAAAAATTTGTATTATTTTGAAGTAAATAGGCTTATCAAAGCATGGTTTTAAGCAATGGCATGTGTTTTTGCTTTCAGTGTTTCCATTACATTTTTGTATGCACACAAATATTTCTGAAATAGCTGCAAAAAGTGTGTTAGCTTAAGGAGGCAAACATTCTGCTTGGAAATTCACTTATGCTGTTCCTGTGTTAAGACTCTCTACACACACACACATACTTCTAGTGTGTGTATATTTATCTATCTATCTATCTATCTCCTACCAATTGTGATGATGAACAATTAGAATTATTGTGATTTCAGTGTGTGGCAGGGATACTGCTATATGGTTGCAAAACCTTCTTTTTCCTCTTAGGACAAAACGTAGACTTTGAGAGTCCAGCCTCCTTTCAGTGACATAGGGTCATGTTACTGAGTTCTGGTCTTTAAATGTGAGTGGGGGTGATATTTGCCACTTCCAGCCTGGCCTATAGGAACATCCTGACTGATACTTTTTGCTCCCTTTTTTTGTCTCACCAGCTAAACGGAATACAGTAGAGGACTCCAAGGCCTTAGGAAACTGGGAAGCTACCAGATCAAAAGGATCCTAGGTGCCTGAATAATGCCACAACTCCTTGCTGACCCTCATCTGTTATAAGGTAAGTGACAAACATTTATTATGTTAAGTCACTGAGATTTGGGAGTTATTTGCTATACGTAGTTGTTAGCTTACCCTAGTGAATTAATAATAAATATAGTTTTTAATTTAAAATGTGTGAAAATATGAACTCAAAATATTCCTGTTTAAGACACACAGCAAAATTGAAGACGTATTTTCCTCCTTTTGTCATGTGTTACAGGAATGTCTTCTCAGAGATCTGTAGACTTTCATTTATTAGAAAATTGTGCTATTAGAGAGAGAAATTATTGGACCAAATTAAGCAATTCTTAGAAGAAAGTACATCCAGGAACGTGGTTTGGCTCATACTCAGGGGCACAAGTCCTGTCACTATTTGGATCCCATCCTCCATCACTTTATTTATCCCTGGATCCTTGTTTTCTACCGCTCTCTCAGCCTCTCAGCCTTCCAGTCCCATTGCTATTCCTAGGTGTCAGTATTCAATATCTGACCACACACCATCAGAGAATCTCTGTCCTCCACTTTCCTTTCCTTTTCTATTACAACTAGAAAAGGACTTTGGTTAGTTTGTGGAATGACAGCTACAATTAGTCTGTGGGCTTTAGCATGTTCATTGGGATTTGCTACACTAATCAGACTAACTTATAGCTTGTAGACTATGAAAGGCTTTTCTTGTAGTGATTAGTATCTACATGTTTTCTGTGTGACTTATCGGTACAGAAGACCTGAATCACTGTAATAACTACAAAAGACGTTACAGAGAAAAATAACATTTTTACTTTGAAAACTGCCATAGACTATAAAGCTCATTTTTGTATATTTAAATCCTAAGATATGAATGCATAAAGCACATACATACATATACAATTAAGAACTTCATCTAGCTCTCTCGCCTCCTGCCAAGATGACCAAGAAAAGAAGGAATAATGGTCGTGCCATAAAGGGCCGCGGCCACGTACAGCCTGTTCGCTGCACCAGCTGTGCCCGATGCGTGCCCAAGGATAAGGCCATTAAGAAGTTCGTCATTCAGAACATCATAGAGGCCGCAGCCGTCAGGGACATTTCTGAAGCGAGTGTTTTCGACGCCTATGTGCTTCCCAATCTGTATGTGAAACTGCATTACTGCATGAGTTGTGCCATTCACAGCCAGGTAGTCAGGAATCGTTCTCGGGAAGCCCGGAAGGACCGAACACCTCCACCCTGATTTAGACCTGCGGGTGCTGCCCCACGACCTCCACCAAAGCCCATGTAAAGAGCTAAGTCCTTAAAGACTAAAGAAATACTGTCCCCTGGAAAGACAATAAAGTGGAAATTATACTTAAAAAAAGAAAAAGAAATTCATCTATAATATTTCTAATGATTTCATAAAAGTAAAGTAGGGTTATTTTCTTAAATTATGAGTCCTTATGCTTTCCTTCAGTAAGAACTCTACTTGTTTCCCAGAAAGCTTTACATCTCCCTAAAATTCACATGTTGAAGTCTTAACCCCCCAGAACTTCAGAATGTGACCTTATTTGTAACTAGGGTCATTGCAGATGTAAGTGGTTAAGGTGGGGTCATACTGGAATAGGATGGGTCCCTATTCCAATATGACTGGTGTCCTGATTGAAAGGGGAAATCTGGAGACAGACACACACACAGGGAGACCAGCCATATGAAGACAGAGATCAGCCAAGGGACAGTTTGCCAGCAAACCACCAGAAGCTAGGACAGAGGCACGGGACAGATTCTCCCTCCCAGCCCTCTGAAGGAACCAACCTCAGAGTGATATCAACAAGATGGTGGAATAGGAAGTCTCCTGCTTATCTCTCCCCAACTCAGCAACAATAAATTGGCAACCATCCATAGACAAAAGTGCCTTTGTGAGAGATTTGGGATCCTAGTAAGAGACTGTGAAACCCTGGTAGAGCCCAAGACCAAAGAGGGCTGTTTTGAAAAGGCAGCCCATGCGCAGGTGGCAGACTTTCCAATTGTCCCAGCTACAGACTCGAAAGTAGCCCTGTCTCCCCGTGGACTCCTCTACAGCCCCATTTGGCATTGTCCTGCCACAACACCATCTGCCAAAGGACTGCGCAGGAGTCACACCTGCCTATGCCCCAGGTGTCTGGCCAGCCAACCTCAGTCCTGGCTGTGGACCCTGAAGTGGTGTGTGATCCAGCTCCAACCCCTCTCAGGATGCTAGTCCTGACTCTCCAGGCAAACCCCCCTCCACCGCCCGGGGAGACATGTCTATCTGTGCTCTGAGGCAGGACCTCCAACCTAGGTCCAGCTGCAAATCCTGAACTAGCCCTGTAATTTGGCTTTAGCCCCTCTTAGCCATGAACCAGGAATACTCCTGCCCATCCAGGGACCCACCAGGAGACACACCCTTGTAAGCACCTGGAGGTAGGCCTGCTGACCTGGGTCCAACTGCAGATGTTAAAGGGGCCCTGACACCTGCCTCCAGGCCCTCACAGCCATAGTCCAGGAGCAGTCATGTCTGCCCAGGGACCTCTTCCAGCTTCTGGTGGCTCTTCATATTCCTTGGCTTGTGGCAGCATAATTCCACTCTCTACCTTCATCTTCACATAGTCTTCCTCCCTGTGTCTCAAGTCCCCCATCTCCTTTTCTCTTTTAAGGATACAAATCATTGGATTTACGTAGGGCCCATCTTAAATCCTGGATGATCTCATCTCGAGATTCTTAAATAATCACATCTACAAAGATCCTACAAAGGTCACACTCACAGGAAGTGGGGATTAGGACTTTCCATATCTTTTGGGGGGCCATTATTCAACCCCCCAACTACGACATCTTAAAATAGATGATAACTGGTAATCAATAAACCTTGGGTATTTAGAGAGTGCTGAAAATATGCAGTGTAACTGCTAAACAAGGACTTTTGAAATAGAAGATAATTTTTGTAATACTGCAAGGGAAATTCTAATAATAGTCTATAACTAAAAATACTAGTCTATCTCAGCAAAACTTGGGAGTAGAGGAGAATGGGAAAGTTTAGGGAAATGAAAGTGTTTCAAAACTGCTAACTTGTTGGAGGGAGGATGAAAGCAGTGGGAAAGTAGAACAGCTTGTTGGGGAAATAGTTGAAGGCTTGTTTTCTAATATTAGAGAACTAAGTGCTATATTATGAGATTCAGAAAAGAAAAGGGAATTTTCTGCCTTTTAACAAGGGAGAAGAAGAAATGAGTGACAACTCTATCAACTCCTCCCCACTAAAAAACGAAAGAAGGAAAGCAACATTGCAAACAGGTAATAGCATAATAAAAATGGAAGAAATAAAGTATATTAAGTAAATCATTAAAAAGGCAGTTGTACCAAAATTATTACATAAGTCTAATATAATTACAGTTAGGTTTTCAACAGGGATTTAAAAAACTATTGAGTTTCAATCATCTTAGAGTTCATATGGAAGAATAAATATCCCAGAAATTCTAGACAAACACAGAAATTGAGGAAGGGAGGGAGGAGGGGAGGCATTCAACTACTCAGCTGAGCTGAGTTGATAGGAAACAGTGAAGACCTTACACTGAAATTAAATAAATGTAAAGCTACTGTTGGAAAAACTGTCAGAGAAGCAATATAGAAAATCCAGATATAAATCCCAGAATATATGAGAAGTTAATATGCATGCAACAAAGTTGGTACTTCAACTTATCTGAGGATGAGCTGAAAAGAATATCTTCATGTATTCTAGTGTATAGGTGGCATAAATGTGAACTGTTACAACATCTATCGGTATCAGTCTAGTACTATTTACTAGATAATTCCACATAGCCATTGCACCCTTGGAAATCTACCCCATTAAATAAAAGCCTTGATGTAAGCTCTATGGACTGGATTACATCCCATCCCAGAATTCATATTTTGAATTCCAAACCCTCAATGTGATGGTATTTGGAGACTGGGCCTTTGGGAGGTAGAGTTAAAAGAGGTCATAAGGTTGGTGCTCTCATGATGGGGCTACTGTCCTTATGAGAAGGGATACTAGAGATATCTATGCACGGCAAAGATCAGATCAGGGTGAAGATTCAAGGTCTATAGATGCTTTGACCCTACCTACCTTTTTATGTTCAGTTCTTTGTTGTTTAATATTTATTGTTGTCTTCTCAACCAGATTATACATTTCATTCATTCATTCCACAAGCCTATCTAGAACATCCACCATGTGCCAAGCACTATACTAGATACTGAATATAAAAGTATATCTTTAAAAAAGTCTATCTAAAACATAGTCCTTGACTTTTAGAATATTTCAGTCTGGAAGAGGGAATATTCAAATCTGTAATTATTTCAAGGTACAGTACTGTGATGTGTGCTCTCATTTTACCATCAGAGTTCATATATCTTTGACAAAAGTATATCATTCTACACATAACCTGATAGGCACATAGTACTTCTTAATAGATAACTTTGTCTGAATTCATAAATAATTCTTAAATTGTTACTCTATTGAAAGTTTTAATGAAGATATTTATAGATATGTAAAGGTAGCCTATTACCTAAATACAACCACACACTTCACTTGATTTTACATGGTGGCATAAAAGTCACTGAATTGGGGCTTCCCTGGTGGCACAGTGGTTGAGAGTCCGCCTGCCGATGCAGGGGACATGGGTTCGTGCCCCGGTCCGGGAAGATCCCACATGCCGCGGAGCGGGTGGGCCCGTGAGCCATGGCCGCTGAGCCTGCGCGTCCGGAGCCTGTGCTCCGCAACGGGAGAGGCCACAACAGTGAGAGGGCCGCGTACCGCAAAAAAAAAAAAAAAAAAGTCACTGAATTGAGAAAGCAAGGCAATCTTTTTGTAAAATAATTTTTAATTGAAGGGTAGTTTATTTACAATGTTGTGTTAGTTTCAGATGTACAGCAAAGTGAATAAGTTATACATATATATATATACACACATATATATTTTTCAGATTCTTTTCTGTTATACATTACAAGATATTGAATGTAGTTCCCTGTGCTATATAGTAGGTCCTTGCTGTTTATCTATTTTATATATAATAGTGTGTATCTGTTAATCCCAAACTCCTAATTTATCTCTCCTCCCTGCCCCTTTCACCTTTGGTAACCATAAGATTGTTTTTTATGTCTGTGAGTCTGTTTCTGTTTTGTAAATAAGTTCATTTGTATCATTTTTTTAGATTCCACAAATAAGTGATATCATATTATATTTGTCTTTGTCTGGCTTACTTCACTTAGTATAACCATCTCTAGGTCCATCCACGTTGTTGCAAATGGCATTATTTCATTCTTTTTTATGGCTGAGTAATATTCCATTGTATATATACCACATCTTCTTTTCCATTCATCTGTCAATGGACACTTAGGTTGCTTCCATGTTTTGACTATTGTAAGTAGTGCTGCTATGAACATTGGGGTGCATGTATGTTTTCAAATTCGTTTTCATCTTTTCTGGATATATGCTCAGGAGTGGGATTGCTGGATCATATGGTAACTCTATTTTTAGTTTTTTAAGGACCCTCCATACTGTTCTCCATAGAGGCGGCACCAATTTTCATTCCCACCAACAGTGTAGGAGGATTCCCTTTTCTTCACACCCTCTCCAGCATTTATTATTTGTAGACTTTCTGGTGATGGCCATTCTGACCCATGAAAGATGGTACCTCTTTGCCATTTTGCTTTGCATTTCTCTAATAATTAGCGATGTTGAGCATCTTTTCATGTGCCTGTTGGCCATCTGTATGTCTTCTTTGGGGAAATGTCTATTTAGGTCTTCTGCCCAGTTTTTTGATTGGGTTATTTGGTTTTTGTTATTGAGTTTTATGAGCTGTTTGTATATTTTTAAAATGAAGCCCTTGTCAGTCGCATTGTTTGCGAATATTTTCTCCCAGTCCATAGGTTGTCTTTTCATTTTGTTTATGGTTTCTTTTGCTGTGCAAAAGCTTATAAGGTTGACTAGGTCCCATTTGTTTATTTTTGCTTTTATTTCTTTCGCCTTGGGAGAGTGACTTTAGAAAACAGTGGTATGATTTATGTCAGAGAATGTTTTACCTATGTTCTCTTCTAGGAGTTTTATGGTGTCATGTTTTATATTTAAGTCTTTAAGCCATTTTGAGTTTACTTTTGTGTATGGTGTGAGGGAGTGTTCTAACTTCATTGATTTACATGTAGGCAAAGGCAATCTTAATGACAGATAGAGTAACAAAAGTTATGTGAGTAGCTTTGAAAAATAGTTTTGAATAAAACTGTTATGGGATTAATAGGTATTGTAAGA